GCCGAGGGGGCCCCCGCCGAGGCCCGGTCTCCCAGTCCCGCATCGCCCCCGGCCGACGGGCGCCTCAAGGCTGCGGCCAAGCGCGTCACGTTCCCCTCCGACGAGGATATCGTGTCCGGAGCAGTGGAGCCCAAAGACCCCTGGAGACACGGTAGCTACAGCTGGGGCGCGGGGGCGGGCTCGCGGGGGTCTTGGGAGTTGGTGCAGCGCCCAGTACGGAGGTGGTGCTCCATAAGTTGCACCTAGTGATGATTTAAAGAGGCGGTCGTCAGTTTAGAGCTGGATAGTGTTAGGGGGTGGCTCTTGGGTAGGGGAAGGTGAAAAGTAGCTAGTTTATGCTCACCCCCTCCCCGCCCCAAGGGATGCTGAATGTGATCGTTTTAAGAATTAAAAAGATGAGCAATTAAAGAAGTTTGGTGGCTTGGGAGATTGGGAAGGCGGTAGCCTTTGAGTTCAGAGTTCCCCCAGAGGATAGAGAGCAGTCAGGGGAGGAAGAATGGGTCACCATTGGCGCCGAAAGGGCGGTTGGAGGAGTTTGATGGGCCTGGAGATGGAAAGAAGTGTAAGTTCCTGGTCCGCGAGCCTTTGAACAAAGAGTAGCCATGTTGCCTACTTTCTTGGCTAAAGGAGGCATTGGAAAAAACGTGGACTATGGCTGTAGAGTGGGTAAATCCTGGGGTTTGGAAGAGGGAGGCAAGGTAAACAAACTCCCAGAAAAGGAGCAGAGGTGGTGGTCAGCTGGGGGTGGGTGAGATAGAGGAGGTGTTAGATCTTGGCAGTAAGAAGAAGAAAAGTCACTGCATGCCTCCTCTTCTCCCCCAAAAGGGAAGCAGAACATTAGCAGTCATTCAGGAGCCAAGCGATCTTGGGGCTTGGCTATAGAAGGATCTTTTTTTTTTTTTTTTTTACCCCTGAGAAAGGGTTGGGGAATTGGAGTTGCTGGTCAGTAGAAATGAGGACATTGAAGAAGTTCGGTGGCTCGAGGTGTTGGGAGAGGAAGCAGATTCATGGATGATTATAGGTCCCCTGGAGAAGGGCAGGTCACTCTTGGGACTGAAAGGGCAGCCGGAGGAGCGTTTTGCACATAGGGCTGGGGAGGTGGGACGTCCTCCGGAGACGGATGGCAGCATCGAGTCTGTTCCTGAGCTGGAGAAGTCTTATCAGTCTTGCTGAGATGGAGCCCACAAAGAGAGGGAGCACACTGCTCTTGGCTCCGTGTAGAAGTTGGTCCGCTGGCCCTGGGGAAAGAGGAGGGACTTGCTAGTCTGTGGGCCGTGGAGGAGTTGGTGGCTTTGCCCTGCGAGTGGGAAACATGGTAACTGGAAGCTGAACACACAGGGAACCCACCATAAATGCCAGTGTGGCTGGTTATTGTTAAAGAGCTGGGGGTTAGTTTACAATTCTTGGCGTTGGGAGCCAGCCAAGTCTTTGGGCTCTAGGCCTCAGGGATAGGTGGTCACTTTGGGCTTGGAGGGTTTGGGAGACCGGGGCTGAGGAAGGGGAGAGTCAGCGTGGGCCCTGGCTGTAGCACGGATCCATTCCAGGGAGTTCAGAGCAGGAAGGGGGAAAGGCCTGAACAGGCAGAGGAGGCTGCTGAAGAGCAGAGGCTCAAGTTCAAATCCTGACTCCCATTTACCCACTTCGTGACCCCAGGCTGGTTACCTAACTCCTCTGAGCCTCAGTTTTCCCATCTGTAAAGTGTGCGATGATACCCATGCCACAGGGCTTAAGAGAGGACTAATTAAGATTGTATATGAAACGTGATTGGCCAGGATGAGCCTTCGTGAAGTTGCGGTTATTGTTGGTCATTTTAGGGGTGATATTCGGTGATACTGGTCATTTTGGGGGCCAGTCTAGAAGAGTTGGCTCATGGGGTTGGGGCCTGGTTGTTTCTGCTTCACAAGCTTCCAGAAAAGAGGCAGAGATGGTGGTCAGTGAGCCTGGGGCGATGGGAAGGGAAGATGGGCGGTTTGTGGGCCGGAGGGTCGCGGTGGGGCAGTTGGAGAGTTGGGCACAGAGTGGGGTCGGGTAAAGTTTCTGGTCTGCAGGTTCTCAGAGGAGCGGCTGTGCGCAACCAGCTGTCTGGCTTCGAGCAAGCCATTTCTCCTCTCCAAGCCTGCCGTTTCTTTCTTTGCAAATGGAGGTGCTAATTTCTACCATGAGGTAGTCGCAAGGATTAAATAAGATAGTCCTTGTAAGTTCCTGCCACATAAATAGCAGCTGCTGTTCCCCAGACAGATTCGCTTTTGTTCGTGTTGCACGGGCAGCGGAGGAGTTTGAGAGGACTGGGAGGGGCCGAGACGACGGCCGCTGATTGGTCTGCCCTGGGGTGGAGGTGGCGCGCGCTTACCGGCTGGGGGCGTCCCTCGTCCTTGAGGGTCGAGAGGGGGACTGCGAGGACTGGTCAGGACTCACACTCGGGGGGAGTCAGTGGGTTTGAGGTGGAGAGGCGATGCCATGGAGAAACGGGTCAAGTTATGGGCTGGAAGAGTTGGTCGGTCTCTGCTGGGAAGAGGGTGGCGGAGTTGGCCTGGCAGTGAAGGAGTTGGGTGATCCTGGGCCCAGGGGAAGGGGGGCCTTGGTGAAGTGGGCGAGTTTGGACAATGAGATTTGCAGGACAGGAAATTGGAGGGCCTGTCAAAGCTGAGGAGCAGGTGGCTAGCCTCTGTGCCTGGGGAGGGCAGTGGAGGTGTTGGCCGGCCTGGGACCAGCAAGGCGGAGGCTTGCCAGGCCGTAGGAGAGGAAGGGGCTACCTGGCTGGGCGAAGGGGCTACCTGGTTGAGAGGCCAAAGGGCCGGGGCTGCAGGGAGGAGTCGATGGCCTTGGAGGTAAGGGCGGAAGCTTTGCTGGAGTTGGTCTGTAGGCCGTGGGAAAGCACCCGCAGCAGGTGTCGTTTGAGCTGCGGACCCAGTGGGAAGGATGATGGAGGAGTCGTTCTGAGGCCTGCCGTGGTGACATGACTCCAAGGCCGAGGGTGAGGGAGGAGTTGGCAGGTTCAAATTGGGAGAACCGTCATTCGAAGCTGTTCTTCCGTCTCAGATGGAGCAGTGGCCTAGGCCGGGAGGTGCAGGGGCGACCCCCGTGGGGAGAAAGCGGTACCAGGGGGGACAGAGCCTCTGGCTGGGCTGGAGGAGGGGTGGGAGCCCTGGGGCTGTCCGTCCTCAGGCCTCGCCAGAGGTCACGTGTTGGGGACTTCCTGGAGGAGGGAGGTTGTGAGGGAGGATCCCAGGCCTCCCAGCGAGCACAGGGACCTCCTCTCCCGTCTCACACGGTGTTAGGGCCTTCCGTGTTTCCCCGGTCCCACGAATGGCCGTCTGATGTTATGGTGTTTGCCTTCACGTTGGAGGTCTCTCCCCCTACCAGAACGGGATAGCAGACATCGTCTGTCCTTGGCCCCTCGAAGAGCATGCAGTGGTCATGGCTGATGAGCACTAGTGGGCATGCGTGCAACCGTTGTGGGAGGGTGAGTCCAGGCCAGACCTGAGACCCATCTGGCCAGAGTGCGCTGCCAGCGGCCTGCTGTGGCCTCCGGCAAGGGACTCCTCGCTGAGCTTGTTTGTTCCCTCATCTGTGAAATAGTCATCAGTGCCCTGCTGACCACCCAGATGTTTGAGCGGATGGGATGAGCCTCCCCGCTTGCTTGTGACTGGGAAGTGAAGCTTGGGGACGGGGAGGGGTGGGAATTGTGAGTGGCCAGGCTGGGCACACAGGAACTCTGCGCTCCCTGGGGTGGGGGTGGAAGTGGGCACAGCAGAGGAGGGGCTAGCTGGCTGCATCCCCCTCCTCCCG